AGAGAGAGACAGAGAGAGAGACAGAGAGAGAGACAGAGAGACAGACACAGAGAGAGAGACAGAGAGAGAGAGACACAGAGAGAGAGAGCGAGAGAGAGACGGAGACAATATAGAGAAGCAGTGTGTAAGTGTCACTTTGCAGAGGGTCAAACAGTCACAAAATGGAGGCAGTGCTTATTACTTTGAAGTGTAATGTGATGCTGGGACACGCAGGTGAGTGTGGAGCTCTTTAAGCAGCCAGAGAACAGAGTCAGGGAGGAAGTGGGGGAGTAAGTGGGTCTCCAGCGACTCTCTCTCCTGCTCCCCTGGTGACGAGACCCACACCCTGGGAGACGGCAGCTCTGACAGCTCCTCCAAGGCTCCACAAAGCAGTGCTATGAAAGTAAATGTGCTCCCTGTCGGCGCGACTCCAAAGGGAAGGGAACAATAAAGTAGGCTACATCCTCTTTTCAGGCTATTGGTTGATGTTCGGCATAAAATTAGACATAATTAAAATTCCACTTCTTGTTGAAGCGTTACACAGACGGAAAATGAAGTCACAAAAGATGTCTAATTGTGCCAGGAACAGAAGACGATCATCCAATCAGAACGCTTAATGATAAGAAAAGCTTCCCAAAAACAGATAAAAGCACTTCAGGAACTTTGTGAACAACATGCCTGCGGTGTCTCAGGTGAGGCTATTCACAAAGAAATACAGCTCCTAATAAAACGAGTCGCAGGGACGCCCTATTACTTATTTACACTTTGCTGCCACTGCAATACCTTTGTAGTCGCAGTAGGTTCCATAAGCGAACAGGTTGAGGAGCTGGTACATCGGTGCATGAGGGCCATTCTCCATCTGTGGTGGAGAGGGAAGATGAGGGGGAGAGAAGAGACACAAAAGATGAAGTAATGAGAAGAGACTCTCGACATAGAAAACTACACAGCTGCATTTTATCTTTGCACATCACTGAGGAGAGGTCCTGCTGAGAGAGAGAGGAAAAGCGATGGACTGCATGAAGTGTGCTTATAGTCAGACACTTCTTTTGAGAGGGGTTATATTCACACTGACGTCTGTCTGCAGTGATCCTTATCAGACTTCAGATCTCTGCTCAGTATTCAACCGGGGACTCACTTTCATTGTGTTCCCTTTTGGCTGACTGAAATCCATTTAGCAAGACTTTAGACCGTAATGTTTTATATTGATGTATATTCTCTGCTGCAGCTCTTAGAGTGAACACCAGGGGAGTATGTACGTTAAGTTAAGATTACCATATATATAGTATATGTCCAATATATATGGCATTATGATGTGTTGAGTTTAAAGAGCAGAATCTCTGCTGTTGAGTCACAAATATTATATGGATTAAGACACTTTTGTATGCATTTATAACCATACATTTTAAGACTTCATGGCCACTTTGAGTTCTAACCGGTTACCTTGGCGACACACTTCACCTCACATTGACTATATACAGTATTGATTGTCCTTCCTCGTTATCTTCCAACCATTTGGACGCAAACTTGCATTTCCCCATAACGATGTTTTTTAACAACCGGCGTAAACGGACCTTCGCGCGCTATCAAGCAGTGAGCGTGCGATGTCCTGTTCAGATGACGTCAAATCCAACGGGATGCCATAAATAAACTACACAGAATCACACTACACACCTACGCAATGATTACATTCAGGCAGACTGTAGAATACAACCTCTTTGGACAATTTATATACTTATTGAAAACGAGCTACAAAATGTAATACCTTGGAAAATGCCCTTTAATACTTTTTAATACTTTTTAAGACCCCGCGGACACCCTGTGTAAATGTCCAATATATATGGCATTATGATGTGTTGAGTTTAAAGAGTAGAATCTCTGCTGTTGAGTCTCAAAGATTATATGGATTAAGACACTTTTGTATGCATTTATAAGTCTCCCCGAAAAAGGATGACTGTATGAGTTGGGAAAAGCTAAATGGGGGATGTATTTACCTTTAAAACCCCTTGGACTAGATAACTGAAGTAAACAAATAACTTTAAAGGTCATTGAATGTCAGAAAGAAACACATTGAGGCAGTAAAACCTCAGAGGGAAACTGAGCTGTAAAGCTTTGTGTTGAAGGAAAGTCGCTACGCATTCCTCTCGTCTTCTATTTTATCTGCACTAAACCTTGGTGTGGTCCTTAAGTAAATGAAAACAAAAGCAATTTCACCGTTCACTGCATTAAAAGGGGCACAATGTTAAGTAAATATCCCCCCTGGTCTGGATTTCTCTTTATCCTTTTCTTAAAGAATGGAGCAATGACGCTTCTTGTGTGTCAATCATCCACACCAATCAGAAGTGCTGTGCTCCACATGCACCAGTCATTGTTAACCAATCAGAAGTGGCCCATGATAGAAGGTGATAGACAGATTGATCCAATCACCTGCCAAGTATTTTTGAAATACTTCCAATGGAGCTTTCCTAGATGTTTTGGTGAAACAAAGCATCTGAGTCAGGTTAGTAATGCTCCATCACATGTTTCTATGACAGGGTGAATCTTAAACTGAAGCTTGACTTTAAAGCAACCCAACGGAAGTTTCATGTAAGTTTAGTTATTTCACTCGTAGCTCGGGCTGCGGGGGTGCTAGAGACGGGAGCACGTTGATACGACCTTCCTAGCCGGAGATATGGCCGCATTTCACAATAAACTTCCGTTGGGTCGCTTAAAAACAAATATCGCAAATCGAATCGCAATATCTGTCAGAAAAATCGCAATTAGATGATTTCCCCAAATCGTGCAGCCCTAAATGACGCAGAACATCCGTACTGTTGTGTAACAGCAGCGTTTCACTTCTAAAATAAGGTGGAAACTGCGTATTCTCATGAAGGTTTTGCGTACAAAATACATAATAGGTTGATAATGTACCGTTTGAAAGCTGCTTCACGCCAAGGATTTTCTAAATATGGATGTGATAATTGGTGAGTCGTGACCTAGATTACGTCATTAGTGCATTCATATACACACTTCCACATGCATTGATGATTAATGTTGTTCAATGTGGGGAGGAAATACTTCAATCGATGCTGCACTGACCCCTCTTGATACATGTTTGATTAGATACTGCCGATACATTAACACCTGTGAGATTGACTTTCTTGTGTTTGATTGAGATGGATTTTATTTCATGCCAGGTCTGAAAAGGTCTCAGACGACACAAAGGGTGAGGAAGATGTAGTGAGAGTGAGAGAGAGAGAGAGAGAGCGTGATTACCTCTCTGACATTAGGCAGCTCCAGGATGTCAGAGAAGACGTAGAGGCCGGGGGTCTCCAGCAGAGAGCTGACAGCCTGGGCCAGAGCGGGGCCGGACAGAGACAGGAGCTGCTCCACCTCCATCTGAAGACACAGAGAGACAGAGAGACACAGAGGTTAGCAGGTTTGTACAATCAATCAATCCAAATGTATCTAAATCGTAATACTGTATAAACTAGTGCAATATCATTGGTAAAGGTCAAATATGTACAAAAAATCTGAATGAAGTATTATAAAATCTCCTTGTTTGGCACACATCCTTTTAAACAAATAGCCTTTTCACAAAAAATATAAGATTTTTAAAACGCAATTAGCATTTTTCCCCATATCATGCGACCTAGAGCAAGTGACACAAAGGACTGAAGAATAACGCATAATAGCAGCAGAGGTGTGTAGAAAGTGTGGATAAAAGTCGGAGCCAGAGGACACAGAGGTTAGAAGGTTTGTACAATCAATCCAAATCGTAATATAGACTAGTGCAATATCACTGGTATAGGTAAATTATTTAAAAATATCCGATTGAAGTATTGTGGAGCTGCTAAGAAAACCCGCCGACAAACTATTAAACACACATAATGAAATCTCCTTGATTGCTAAATACCTTTTTAAATGATAATGTTTGAAAAGATAATTTCCTTTCATATATATTCAAAAAAAATCGCTATTGCAGTTTCGCTCAAAATAAACGCAATTAGTATTTTTTTCCATATCGTGCAGAACTAGAGAAAGTAACACAAAGTACTGAAGAATAACACATAATAGCAGCAGAGGTGTGTAGAAAGTGTGGATAAAAGTCAAGGTAATAATGTCGTCTGAGGAATGGTTACTAGAGAACACCCATCATAAGCGTTCATGAATACCTAAGAATGGCAAAGCTATATTAATGAACCCTAGGTTTCCACACGATGTCGAAGTCTTTTTAACCAAATGTATGAAAATCGTAATATAGACTAGTGCAATAATATCACTGGTGAAGGTACATTATTTAAATATATCCGAATGACGAGTTGTGGAGCTACTAAGAAATTAAACAGGCATAATAAAATCTCCTTGTTTGGTACAAATCCTTAAAAAAAAAACCTTTTCAATGATAATGTTTCAGATAGATAATTTCCTCTCATATATCAAAACATATCGCAATTGCAGTTTTTGTTCCATATTGTGCAGCCCTAGAGCAAGTAACACAAAGAAACTGAAGAATGTCACATAATAGCAGCAGAGGTGTGTCGAAAGTGTGGATAAAAGTCAAGGTGATAATGTTTCTAACCACTCAGTCGTCTGAGGAATGGTTACTAGAGAACACCTGTCATAAGCGTTCATGAATACCTAAGAATGGCAAAGCTATATTAATGAACCCTAGGTTTCCACGCGATGTAGAAGTCTTTTTATCCTCTCGAAAAACCCAGTCTACCCACTTGTGGCCAGCTGAAAGGACATAGAATTGAGCGAACAAAACTCCTTTTTTCTTTATACGTCTAACAGTCAAGTGCTCTCGACTGAAGCACTTGACCCACAATTACCTGGAGAGCGGCTCAGATAGCAGAGGAGAAGCTGCACTAGGTAGCAACAATGCAGGCAACAATTGTAACGACTGCAAAGCAGGGCATGGATATTCATCAAAAACCATTTCCCTGAATTGAGACACGATGCTAAAGCACTCTCCAGAATAATAACCTAAGCAGTAACAGGAATCTGCCTATGTCTCGAAAAGAAAGCGAACCCCGGAAGAATAAAAAACCAAAAACAGGACCATTCAGTGATTTGGTTCTTTGGCCTGACTCTGGCTCTGTAATCCACACGTTTCAGAGTGAAAAATGATGCAAATACAAAATCACAACAGAGGATGTCAGTCTGTTTCTACTCATGTGTTCCTTTCTTCAAGTTGAAAAGTGCCAAACTGTCAAATGTTTCAATGTGAGGAGCTGTCCTGTTGCTATTTTAAAATATCTTAATCCCAGTGGACACATCTTGGGACACAGAGGAAGTTCAGTCTTACAGATACATGATAAAAGTATTGCAGTTGCATCAGAATGGTTTTATTACCTGAGGCCATCTCTTAAAATTAATGCAGGCGAGTCTGGGTACCAACTGCTGAGCTAAGACTAGTCTGAATGGCTCTTACCGTAGACCAACTGCTGAGCTAAGACTAGTCTGAATGGCTCTTACTGTAGACCAACTGCTGAGCTAATACTAGTCTGAATGGCTCTTACCGTAGACCAACTGCTGAGCTAATACTAGTCTGAATGGCTCTTACCGTAGACCAACTGCTGAGCTAAGACTAGTCTGAATGGCTCTTACTGTAGACCAACTGCTGAGCTAATACTAGTCTGAATGGCTCTTACCGTAGACCAACTGCTGAGCTAATACTAGTCTGAATGGCTCTTACCGTAGACCAACTGCTGAGCTAAGACTAGTCTGAATGGCTCTTACTGTAGACCAACTGCTGAGCTAAGACTAGTCTGACTGGCTCTTACCGTAGACCAACTGCTGAGCTAAGACTAGTCTGACTGGCTCTTACCGTAGACCAACTGCTGAGCTAAGACTAGTCTGACTGGCTCTTACCGTAGACCAACTGCTGAGCTAAGACTAGTCTGAATGGCTCTTACCGTAGACCAACTGCTGAGCTAAGACTAGTCTGACTGGCTCTTACCGTAGACCAACTGCTGAGCTAAGACTAGTCTGACTGGCTCTTACCGTAGACCAACTGCTGAGCTAAGACTAGTCTGACTGGCTCTTACCGTAGACCAACTGCTGAGCTAAGACTAGTCTGAATGGCTCTTACCGTAGACCAACTGCTGAGCTAAGACTAGTCTGAATGGCTCTTACTGTAGACCAACTGCTGAGCTAAGACTAGTCTGACTGGCTCTTACCGTAGACCAACTGCTGAGCTAAGACTAGTCTGACTGGCTCTTACCGTAGACCAACTGCTGAGCTAAGACTAGTCTGACTGGCACTTACCGTAGACCAACTGCTGAGCTAAGACTAGTCTGAATGGCTCTTACTGTAGACCAACTGCTGAGCTAAGACTAGTCTGACTGGCTCTTACCGTAGACCAACTGCTGAGCTAAGACTAGTCTGAATGGCTCTTACGGGCCGTCTCCACAGCAGCGTTAAAAAAATCTTGGAGGTGGGCGTATCTGAAGCTTGAGGATTTTTTGCGAGCAACCAATCACATGAATCTCCCGCCCGCGACATACGAAGCAAAAAAGCCCGAAGTAAACTGGATATAAACTCCCCAAAACAGGCGAAAACCTACCACTGTCTCTGCCACCTCCCTCCATGCCTGGCTCCTCCGGTTTATATCCCGGTAGGTCTGGTCATAAAGCACCGGGTGATTGATTCGCTACCGCTAATTTCTCCTCCATTTTTTGGAATATGAGGAAATGACCTGCGGTATTTCTCTCCCAGCATACACGCCGTTTGATTGGCTAGAGCTTGAACTGTCAGATTTGCGTACACGGGATTTGATTGGCTGACGCTTCCACCTCAGCCTCAAAAGTTGAACATTGTTCAACTTTGAATCCTCAAAATCCTGAAAATCTCCGCTCGCCTGCCCACAAAGCATTTCGGCGAAAAGTGAGGGAAAGTGACGTCACCCCATTCAAAGTGAATGGGCAGAAGCGTTTCAAGATTTTTTAACGCTGCTGTGGAGACGGCCCGTTACTGTAGACCAACTGCTGAGCTAAGACTAGTCTGACTGGCTCTTACCGTAGACCAACTGCTGAGCTAAGACTAGTCTGAATGGCTCTTACCGTAGACCAACTGCTGAGCTAAGACTAGTCTGACTGGCTCTTACCGTAGACCAACTGCTGAGCTAAGACTAGTCTGACTGGCTCTTACCGTAGACTGTATATTCTTACCCCTGGGATTCCACCGGGCGTGTTACGGCCGCGTTACGGCCGCGTTACGGCTGCGCCGCGGCGCTCACGGCCACTCTAGTCAATGGGTGCTATTCCACCACACGCGGCGTGTTACGGCTCAGAAGCGTCCCAGAAGCGTCTTGGCGCAGGGCTCCTCTAAAATTAGGATGAATCCTATTTTTGGCGCGGCGCAGCCGTAACGTATGGTCGGGCAGGCAGGAAGTGGAACGTTCAGAGCATATATAGCATATATATATATATATATACACACACAAACTAATTTTGCAGACCCTATCCCTCCGTAGTCTTTCAAGTAGGAGGAGAAATGCCAGCGTTCTCCTCCGGTTTACAGGCACTGTGTAAATTATATATATAGGAATAATTATGATGATGAATGCATTTTTTTACCACTAAAATACAGCAACACATCTTTGATTCATGTCGTTTATAACTGGAATATTACAGTTATTATTAACTTTGTCTGTACAAAGTAGCCTGTCCAGGAAATATGCCCAAATCAACAAAAACTGAGAGCCGGCAGGCAAGACGCTCCGCTTCTGAAATGCTTCTGAAACGCGCCTGGTAGGGTATGACGCCGGACCAAAAACGCAGCCGTAAAGCGGCGCAGACGGACCCGGTGGAATCTAGGGGTAACGCTCTTTCTCATCCCAGTTGGTGCTGAGGGTGTTTTGTAGTATCCTTAATTTGATACATTCAGATGCACACACATGCACATCTTGTGAGGTGTAAAGAGCTGGAGCCGAACAGATGAGCGGGCATGTGTTGCAGCCAAACAAATTCACCTAGACCCTTTCTGAAACAGTACTGCTTTTGATTTCATGCATTTTTAAAAGTCAAATGAGGCTGGATTGGATCCATCCGTGTATTTCTATTGAATTTAAAAGGAGGACAGACCTGGCTGAGCGAGAGATTGCTGGAAAAAAAACAAAGTGGCCCTGCTCAATATGCACAATGCAGCTTTCAAGATAAACAGTACCACAGTACCACTCCAACAACAATTGGAAAAATAATAACAACACTACTAAAATAATACTGCAAATAACTAAGAATAACTCAAAGCATTCCATAGAGGAACAGGAACGCATACCCACTCATTGTGATCAACTATTTGTCATGCGGTAACGACCTTAGATAATGACAACATTGTTGTTGCTGTACCATTACCACAATTCTTTTAGCCAATTATTGTCAACAATGTTTAAT